GTCTGATATCCCTGCGTGTTGTGCTTTACGTTGCCGGGCGGGGGGGGGGAGCGCTGACTCATCCGCCACGTCACTGTGGCCTGTGTTGCCACGTTGCTGCTGGGTAGGGAGGGGTTCTCCATTGCACAACATGTCACAGTATGCACATATTCAGAATTCCAAAGAGAATAATTGGAACCATGAGTGGGTTGAGCACTAGGGACTCTTGTAGAGATGCATTTAGGGATTGGGGAATTTTGCCATTGCTGTCCCAATATATATTTTCTTTATTGATGTTTGTTGCGAATGATATGGGTTTCTATCACACAACATCACAAATTCATGGCCTTAATACTAGGTGTAATTTTGAAATGTATCGCCCTCAGACAAATTTGACAATTTACCTTATTATTTTGGTATTAAACTTTTTAATCATCTTCCTTTAAATATAAAAGAGTTAATCCATAATATTAAGCAATTTAGAGCAGCTTTAAGTGCCTTTTTACATACTAAATCCTATCACTTTAGATGAATGTTTTAATTTGGGATAGTTTCTTGTTTAGCTATGAGCCATTATATGATCTATTGTCATGTATATGTTCTAATTTTGTATAATATCTTATATGCAGTGATGTGTAGGGGTTTCATATGCTCGATTTATTGTTGTAGATTTATATGCATTGTTCTTTTGACTACTTACTGATTTAGCAAGCTTGTGATATGACAGGTTCTGTATCCAGTGGCTTCGGCCTTGTATGGATGTGCTGGGACGTGTAATAAATACAATACAATATCAGCCAATTACAGTCAAAAGCCACATTCTGCCATCTGGGATTGTTCACCAAAACTAAAATAAGAGCAGTGTGAATGAAGGCTGAGTGTGGAATATACTGTATATTACATGGAAAGGCTGGAGACTGCTTGAAAAATAAGTTAGAAAGACATGTAAGCTAAAGTATCAACTGTAGGATGTATTATATATGACATGGCAAGGGTTACTGCAAGAGATAGGAATCATCTGTGGTCTCCAAGACAAGCAGAACATACTGAAACTGGAAATACATACCTCTGACATTTTAGTAACCACTCACAGTGTCAGAATCCCCAAAACCATAATCTGAATGATGGCACATTATTTATTCCTTTCTTCATTAGTGACATGGAAAATGTCTCTCCCCACAGAACTTTCATTGAGGTTCTGAACAACATAAATAGTCACTTCTGGCCAGATCTAGACTGTGGGGTGGATAGTTTAGCATCTGAAAGTTAAATCTTGTACAGCAGACTGAACTGTGATTTGTATGACACCATGGAGAGATATTAATTAATAATAAATAATTAAGAATTTTATNCTTTACTAAAACCGTCACAACACAACAATATTAACAATATGTTAGCCATGTATTTGCCTGATGATGGCTTTTAGTAGCCGAAACATGTAGCAGAGCCAAACTTGCCACTGACCTTAATATAGTTATGTTGTGATGGTTTTAATAAAGAAATTGTATATTAATTATTATTAAATTTGTTTCACATTTTTGCATGATGAAAATATATAAAGCCTTTAATAATATCAACTTAGGATTCAGCAATTCGAATGAACTCCAGTAGCATTCCCAGAATAGTGGCCATAATTTTACCCATAAAAGCCCACAAAATTTATCTATACTTATGTTTCTGCTGCAAAACAGAGCAATACTAGTGCCTGTGTATAAATTGAATTATAACATGGAAAATGGAGTAACATAATATTACTGAACCTACATTATTTCTCTGTTTATTCATGTAGCAGTCTTATGACATTTGCACTGTAAGTGTTAATGTGCATGTGCTGACCCGTTTGTGACACTAATTCTGATTTTATTATAGTAGCCATCAAAGTGAAAATGTCTATGTCCATATATCAACCATACCTAGTTCTGTACATATAAATGGCTGTCACTTTTACAGATAAAGAACTGTGTGCTTTCAGTGGATGTGCCAGGCTGTGAGCCATATAAAGAATACCTGTATACATACCTAAGAGACCAAACCATTTGGCATAGCCTGCGCTTCTGGAATGCAGCTTTCTTTGATGCACTGCAGTGCGAACGGGTTCACAGACCAGTTGTAACACGCGAGGACATTCAACACAACAGCCTAGAGGCCATCACTGATGAAAAGCAATACCAGGAAAATATCACATTTGGTCAATTAGGGTATGGTTATACTGTATATTGCTGCACTGTTAATAACTTGCTAATTAGCTGAATCAGAATTATTGCTTTATACATTAATTTTATAATCTTGTAATGTTATTGTTAATTAACAAGAAACATACTGAAATATATTTTTGAGAAACTAAGTTGTTTTCAGAGTCAGTTTCTGAACAGTTGATGATATCAAAATGGAAATGAAACATGTATTTTGACAGTAATTTAATGAAACAAATATGCTTCCAGTTTGATTTCTGGGAAATATTGGTACTGTTTTAATCTCAACTTCTATAGGCAATGAATGAATATAAATATGTTTCAAAATACTGTTTTATTCTCAGGACATTCACATACAACATGCATGCATTTGGTCTCACCAAGGAACTCTGTGCAGAATTCCTGAGGAAGCAATGCATTATTGCCAACTTAAGAGAAGGTAAACAACATTCACTTTCATTAAATTTTGTTTCAAGTGTTTATATATTCAGAGCTTCTAAAATTGTTGTATGGTAAGAGAAAAATACTAAACTATATGTGAAAGCCAGGAACTGGGACAGGTCAGTCAGTACAGCAATAGGCTATGGGCTGGATGGCTGGGGTTCAATTCCTAACAGGGGCAAGAGATATTTATCTACTCCACAGCATCCAGACCAGTGCTGAAGCCTACCCAGCCTCACATCCAATTGGTAAAGGAAGCCTTTTCCCCACTGATTAAGCAACCAGGGTGTGTAGGTGATCACTCACCTCCATCTTGTGCTGAAGTCAAGAATGGTGGAGCTATACCTCCAATACCCCATACATCTTCATGGTATAATGCTTAATTAATTAAGCACAGGGTCAACTTTACCATTACCTATGTGTGAAAGCCTGTGATTCTGGATAGTCCGTTATAAAGTTGTGTGAAGTTTGTATAAATATGATATTTAAACTCAATCTTTAAGCCTTAAAACTGTACTGCTACTTTCTAAATGTAACTCATGAGATGTGTATTAGCAGCTATCGTTAATTTTTTTCAGATCAAGAAAAAATGTTAAAAGACAACGTAGAACGGATGTACAGAGAGACAGATCCTTGGCGATAATTGTGGCTATGAATGAAAGGCATGTACCGGAAGCAGCATTATCCGATGTTAAAAGGTTATTGCTTCAAATGCTCAGACAGGTGGTGGTTTTTATTATGATTGGGCATTTCACAACTACTCCAATTTTGTTTAGTCTTCCAATATTTACTGCACATAGAATGTATAGGAAATTTACATAGCTCAGTGTTTCCTAGCTAGTCAATATATAGATACTTTATACAAAAATTTTTCCTGTATTTGTATGCTTACAATACTTTATGTACTATTTGGGCCATGTTACTCTTCTGGAACAAGCCTCACAGGCCATCTGCCTACATGAGCCTCTGAAGGACTTCTCAGAAATTTGGCATGCATGTGAAATGCTCAGTTCATATGTAGTCTTGTGAGTAGAGTCAAATAAAAACAAAATATTGTCTTGATAATATGTTAGTGACTGGTGCAAGTTTTGTTCAGGAATTTGATATATGAGCGAGATACTCTTGCCTCATGAATCTTTCACTTTTACACAGACTTGGATGTCTTGCCTGATTAACTTGAAAGAACACAAATGCCAAGAGCAAAAACTGATGTTTCTAAAGACAACTATTTTACTCATTCTTTAATCAGCCATATCCCCCTCCCCCAACATAAAGTTGCCAAATAATTAATGATTTGTGTAAAGCTAGAACAATTCAATACAGTCATTTGGCTTTCACAGTCATTCAGTCAGGTAACCTACTCTCTTGAAGCTGCACTAGAAGCAGTGTTAAGCTTGTAGGATTTGTTCTCACAGTGGTGATTAAAAGAGTATTATCTTCTGGGATATAACACTATACAGTCTGTTGAAAAGCAACTGACGTTTCAGAGCNACCTACTCTCTTGAAGCTGCACTAGAAGCAGTGTTAAGCTTGTAGGGTTTGTTCTCACAATGGTGACTACAAAGAGTATTATCTTCTGGCATATAACACTGTACAGTCTGTTGAAAAGCAACTGACGTTTCAGAGGAAAATATCACCTCCATATTCATGGTCGAGTAAGCCAAGAAATATACCAGTGTGAAAGCAGGTGGCAAGCTGAGTAATTTTGGATTATATAGCAAGTAGAAGGGAAATTGAAAAGTAGACCTCAGTTCCCATTGGCTCACCGTGGGATAGAATGAAAATGCTGAGCTTTCACATGACCACCCAGTGAACCAATAGGAGACAAGAACAGGAGTTTGGAATGGCTCTGAAAAGGGGCAGTTTTGCTGGAAAAGTGGAAAAGAGAGAAGAAAGTGTAAGGGTGTGTTGGACAGGGAAGCAGTGTGTAAGGGAGAGAGGTCAAGTGAGTGAGTGAGTGAGTGAGTGAGTCAAGGCATGTGATGAGAGAGCAGAGGTAGTGGAAGGAAGCTCGGGCATCAAGGTGGAGGCTGATGATTGCTTGAAGAGGGCACATTTTGTGTGTTTATAATGGCAGTGTGCATGGACCTGCATGGCCACGCAGAGAACCCAAATATGCTGTCATGTGATGGAGGCTTCCTATGATTTTTCAAGGAGCTGATGAGAGGTTTCCATAACTTGCTCAGACAGAAGCCATCCTCCCTATTCATACTGTTGGGATTGAGCTCATTCTTAATTGCCTCCCTGATGATGCAATCCATGTATCTGGATTTGGTGGAGAGGATGGTGGTGTGCTGTATATAGATGTGGTGATTGAAGTTGATATTGTGCTCCATCACAGCTGACTTGTTGGTGCTCCTTCAACCTGGTGTCAATCAGATGGCCCACCTGCCCAATGTAGACTTGACTGCACTCACAGCAGATACTGTATACTCCTGTTGTCTCCAGTCCCAGGTCGTCCTTGACCGACCGAAAGGAACTAGATATTCTCCTAGGAAGGAAGCCTACAGACTTGATGTTGTGCCAAGACAGCACCCTGCTGGTGCAGTTGAATAGTGACCTGATATAAGACAGAAAAACGACTGAATCTGGCTTTTTGTTGGACTGGGCAACCCTTTGGGAAGGGCTGATGGCCATGTGAATCTGCAGGTCCATGTAGGTGTTCTGCCAGAAAATGTCCCTCAGGAACACCAACTCTGTACGAAGGCCATCTTGATCACACAGAGCTCTAGCGCCGTGTATCAAGTGTGGAAAGTATGGCATGCTTGTTGGATCTGGGGGTGATAAAGAGTTAGAGTTCAGGTGGAGATTGGTATTGTTAGGTATATGATATACTTTATGACCCGGACAGCCATAAGGTCTCCTGCAAATATATGTGTCAAGGAAGGGAGTGTTGCTGTCTCTTTCTGTCTCCATGGTGAACTGAATGTTCTGGTGGTCAAGGAAGTTCTTCAGCCTTTTGGGTCTCTGTGGCTAGATGCCAAAAGTTAGCAATGACCAGAAATAGCAGTGAACCCATAGCCATGCTGTCAATTTGTTCATAGCACTGGCCAGCCAAATTGAAGTATGAGGCCATCAGGACATGGTGGAAGAGCCTCAAGATATCCTCAAAATGCCGACTTAGAAGACTCATGGTCTCCATAATTAGAACCCAGGTGAAGAGTGACACACCAAAGTTGACCATTATATCCTGTGGTCTGCCACAGAGAGAACCCAATGTGTGCCCAAAGTCTGTTGAGTTCTTTATGTGTTGTGGACAGTTGCCAGTATGAGATCCCAGTATACCGGCCATGAGTTTGGTCAAGCTCTTAGTGGGGGACCCAGTGGTGCTGACAATAGGCCTCAAGGAAGCTCCTTGCTTATGGATATTTGGCAACCCATACAGTCTTGAGGGCCTTGAACAAAACAGCGTGTTAATAGCAGCTGAGGTCTACTCTTCCATTTCTTTCCTGCTTCCTACATAATCCAAAATTTCTAGCCAGGCATCTACTCAATTTGCCACCTGCTTTCAAGCTGGTATGTAGGTAAGTCAATAAGTAAGTTACAAATGGATATAGAACTTAAATAAGAGTACTGATTTGAAAAATGCTTTTATTTCTCAACATAATCTCCCTGTACACTGAGATATTTCTCCCATCGTTTCACAAGCCCCTGAAAACCAGCAGCATAAAATTCTTTGGGCTGCTCTCAGAACCAGGTGGTGACTTCCATTTCTACAGTATTATCGGGAAAATGTTCAGCTGAAAGATGATGTTTAAGAGGGCCGAACAAATGGAAGTCGCTTGGAGTAAGGTCGGGGCTATACGGACAATGCTCAAGGACTTCCCATTTGAAATTTTGCAGCGTCTCATTTGTCTTCTTGGTAGTATGGGGACGCATGTTGTCATGCAAGAGCAACACGCCTGGTTCCGACAGCAGTCCAAAGAATTTTATGCTACTGGTTTTCAGGGCCTTGTGAAATGATGGGACAAGTGCCTCAATGTGCAGGGAGATTATGTTGAGAAATAAAAGCATTTTTCAAATCAGCACTCTTATTTAAGTTCTATATCCATTTGTAACTTACTTATTGACTTACCCACATATCTTGGTCGGCTTATTCAACCCTGAATATTGAAGCATTATGTTCCTCCGAAACATTGGTTGACTTTCAATGGACTACATGGCAATATATCCCACAGGATATTACTCTTCGTGGTAATCCTCTCACCACTGAGAACACTAATAAAAATCAAATCAGTAACAAATTGTAACATGTTCTTTTCTTTCATATACAGGGTGTTTCACGACTTTAGGGCATAACTACAGGAGGTGATTTCCTAGGTCTTTGTGATCAAAAAAGTTAATATAAATATGTGTCTGATTTTGGATGGTTATGGAGCTATGACCGTTTTTTCATTCCCATGCACACCCTCTTGTGAACCACGTCTATCATATGGTAGGTCGCTATTTTTAGCCAGCTACAGACAGAGCATTCTCATTATCTCGACACTTGAGAGGTACCTAAGGCATGTTGGGTTGGTATGTCCAGCTGAAGCTGCTACGTGCTACCTGCGCGGTTCACAACTGAGCAGCAGCCTGTGTTGCGGCTGGCGGTGGCATTTTCGAAAATCAGCTTTAAGCACCAATAAATTCAAATTAAAGGTAATTTCACAAAGTTAACTTTAAATGTATCATGTATTATGCTGGTTTATTATTTTGTTCCATTTATTGTCAGTAATCGTTACCTTCTATTCTGAGTTTAAAATGGTCATAACTCTGTAACCGTCCAAAATCGGACACATGTTTATGTGAACTTTTTTGATCACAAAGACCTAGGAAATCACCTCCTGCAGTTATGCCCTAAAGTCGTGAAACACCCTGTATACATATATACACATCCAGTAATGAACTATTCACATATATGGTATACAATATACCTTCTCAGTTGTACCATAATTTTATTCACCTCTGATGTCACGTGAAATTGTAAAGTTCAAGTTGTTTTTATTTGACTGGCACTCAGACTTTCATTTGGGATGCTAGTAGTAGAATATTAAAAGACTGACAAACTTCATGTGGAATGTAGACCAGTATTTATGATATAACACGAAGGGAGGATATTTTATTGAACCTCATATGCTGGAGAACTGCATGTGTCAATAAGCATTCTCCAGATGAGAACTCTAAAGCATTCCACTATATTTTATAAAAGAATGCGACATGATATATGATATTCTTTAGTACTGAACATTTTCATATTGAATTCTCTCTATCGTTTCATGGAATTTAAAAAATTCTTTTCTACAGAGGGAGTTGTGTTACTTTGAGGGAAGTGCATGTCCAATTAGACAGGAGAAATTGACCACTGTATACTTTTTGTAAACTTTATTGAACAGACAATATCTTAAACAAACGTGTAACACATAAATATAACTACATTGCAAACTAATTAGTATATTTATGAATAGGGATGAGCCAAAACTGGAAATATCTTAATATAATAATATCTATTCAAATAATATGAATTATTTTTTCTTCACAGTGGAACCCCAATTTAAAGTTCAGTTTCTGTGTTCCCATGTTAGTAAATAATCTCTCTGTTAATTACCTCCAATCAAGACTTAATTCAGCTTTATTTTCAAATCTCCTTCTCACAAAAGAAACCTCAATTGGGGGTTTCACTGTATTACTGTTAGCAAAACATACGCAACAAACAAGGCACTTTTCAAGTAAAATTAAAGTACTTTTGGTCATATTTATTACAATCAACTAGAGATGAGAAACTATGACTTTAAAACTGACCTACTTCATCACATTCTATGAAGCCTCATACTTCCCATTCTGCTTCTGGATACAAATGTTAAAACATTGCACATTGTCATAATACCCAAACAATTAAATGAAAATGATACAAGAGTATGTATCATGCTTAATTCCTGTCCTTCCTGTCAGGAGACCTCAGTAATCTGGAATGATTTTACTTCATTAGTTGTACTTTACAACATTAAATTAGGGTATATAAGATTGATATTTTCATGGCAGTGAAGATTCATATTATGATCTTATGAGTTAATGACATCATATAATCTGGTATTAAATTAAATGATGGATCAAACGCTCTGGCTTAAAAGCCATGAGACAACTTGCTGAAGACCACATTTTTCAGTTTCCTTTCTTCAACCTCTGAAATTCTTCATATAAATATGTGATTCAGAAGAAGAGGGGTTACCCCACCTCAACTTACAAGATTTTCCTTTTAACTAGAAGTCTTGTATCTCACACCAAAGCATTATAATTGATACCAGGTATTATACAACAGAGTATTATCTGACAGTTTGGCAGGTAGCATGAACTGAGATGAGTTTCCATCTTTAATTGCAGTTCAGATGTGCTAATAACTAAAAAAAATTATTGTTGTAAATGGTAAACACAACATCCATAAATAATTTCCAGACACCTAGCAGGATGACTGTTTTAGTACATTATCATATACAATAATTTAACAGAAAATTACATTCATTTCAAATGTCAACATTCTTGCATTACATATGCAAATTTTTGCACTGAACTTTTGATCCTTCTTAAATAGATCTTTTATCCATTCTTAATGCACATGCTAATATTACTACATCACAGTGCAACAGCAGATCTTAAAGTGGTGTTAAAGATTCAGTTTTCTTCATGTTATTGAACATATGACTAGATTTGAGCAGTTTCTTACAGTATCTGCAGTTCTTTCATCAAGTAACTAATGGCACTTCTTGACATATCTCCTTCCCTATTAGACTTGATTATGAACTCTCTTAATAAGTTATCACAATACAATATTTACAGAAAATGACAAATTGTAATTCCTATTCAAGGATATTGCTGTTACAGAATAGAAAAGGTTTTTACTGAAGTACAGTATCGACTTAAATGGATGTATGACATGTCAACATTACAGTGCACATGGAGTAATAAGACATTAACATAGCTATTGAAGTGGTAGTGTGAAGCCTTAATACTGCTGCAGTAAATGAAAAAATGAAAAATTTTAGCTTACTGACAATGAAATTGTATTTATTTACCATATTTAATTCAGGTCTGTAAAATGTATTTTTCTCATTGTGTTGAGAATGATGGAAAAATGTTTCACTCGCAAGAATAAAACCTAATCCTGCAATCTAAAGTTGTAATTCAAGTCTATTTATAATGACACATAATGTGTGAACAGAACTGACAGGTTATGGCACATAAGTGATATATATACCTGAAACTTAAAGCCTGTAATTTATTTTCAAAAATATATTAAAGCAAGGATCCTATAAAATATTTCACAGGTTATTCCTGCCTTCTCTAGTTCACTTATCATCAATCCAAGATCAGAATTTGACTGCACATTTGTTGCATGTGCAAACTTTGAATAGAAAAACAACAGTAAGTGGAACAACAANTACACACCTGATGATGGCCATTTAGGGCCGAAACATGTAGTGTGGAGGAGGAAAAAGAAGTAAAAACTACAATAAAATTGTTGCACTTAAGACGGTATTTGTCCATATACACTACACCATGATGGCGNAAGTTTCTGCCTATATTTTTATTGGAGGGTAAAAAGGTAAAGTGGTCCCTGTGCTTAACTAATTAAGCACTACACCATGATGGCATGTGGGGGAATGAATGTATATATCCACATATTTTTTACCTTAGCACTAGCTGCAGGTGAGTGGTCAATTTCATGCCCTGGCCACTTTACCCCCAATGAAAGAGCCCCCGGTACCCACTGGATAGGAGGTCTGGACAATGTGGAGAAGAGAAAATCTTGACTCTACTGGGACTCAAGCTCCAACCCTTCAGTTGTCCAGCCCATAGCCAGTCGCTATACTGACTACGCTATTCCGGCACCCTTTATTGGAGAGTGGGGGGTTAATTTAAAAATTGCTTACTGTTTAGCCAGTGGAACAGTTTTACATAACATGAAACACAATATTCTGTAACTTTTGTCACTATATACACATGGATGCTACTGTACTCAGAATTGCATTCACAATGCAACACTAAAATCTTATTCATTAAAATGCAGTCTAAACAGAGTACACAAACAACTTTTCATATTTTAAATAAAACACTTAAATAAACTAGATACAATTTTATAGAAATCACAAAAGACATTTGTACCCACAAGAGGCTCCCATTCACTTACGGGCAAAATACTATGACGACAAAGCAACAATATTAATGTTATCACACGACATACAGCTGCTGTGGCAAATCATGACATGAGATACATGGATGGATGTCTTTTAGGAAATATGAGTATTATGACAGGATACTTAAATTCAAATAATCACATTCCTCTCCTTATATGGCATCTGTCACCATTGGCAACTAGAAACAAAAATCTTGCATCTCTTGGAACTCTAGCTATGAAATATATCTGATTTCCTGTAAGGACTAATAGTGCTAATATTTTGCATATTATTTAATTAATCTGAAAAGTTCCTCCATAACATGCATCTGTACTGGCCTCTTTAGGAGTATCACAGATGACAGGTGTACAGCTTGGGGCAAACACCCGATCACAGCTTCATGACGTATGACTTTGCTATCTCAGAACTAAATGTAAGCTCTAGCTTGTTAGAATGACTCAGCACCACCATTGTGAAATGTCACACTCCTCTTCTTAATGTCCTCAGACTCTGGCATATTACCATGCATGGAACCTGAAGAACACAAATTTTCTACTGACATGTCCAGTGAACCTAACACATCTAGTTCACACAAAATTCTAACATATGGTACAATGGGCTCTTATTTATGATCTGTACATAAGTGAGGCAGAATAATCAACTAGAGAATGTAAAGGTAAAGTTGTCCCTATGCTTAACTAATTAAGCACCATGTCATGAAGGCATATGGGGGGGTGGATGTATAGACCCATGTTTTCTTGAGCTCAGCACTAGTTTGAGGTTAGTGGTCAGCTTCACGCCTCGGCCGCTTTACCACTGGGGAAAGAGGCCCTGGTACCCATTTGATAGGAGGCTGGGTGGGCCCCAAAGCTGGTCTGCATGACATGGAGAAGCAACAATTTTTGCCCCCACCAGGACTCTAAATCTGACCCCTCGTCATCCAGCCCATAGTCAGTTGCTATATTGACTGAGCTATCCTGGCTCTCAACTAGAGAATGTACTGATGTTATATTTAGGAATAACATAATCTTGATTATAATTTATATTTCTGAAAATGATGATTCAATAACAGTGCCAGCATTAAAGTTACAATGTAAATGATGAGTGTTAAACTAGCACTACAAACACAACATTTTATATATAAATCTTGTCTCACATTTTTGCATTATAGAAGAAAATCAAAGGCCTTGTATTTCAAATGTTGAAATTACTATCTATAACTCATCACGAGGAAAGTTTGCTGCAGTATATATAGTGAAATGACAAGTTATGCCATTTTTTTTTGGTCCTGTTGTTTTTCNTTTCCCACTCTAATGCATATCTCATGGCAAAAGACCCTTGTGGAAGAATACAATTTCCTACAAGACACTTTCCTCAGGTAATTATGTTTTTTTTCTATTGGCTGTTATGTAAAAAACATTCGATCATAAATTGTGGTAGGTAAAGGTAACGGGTTTCATCATTTCCAATGTGGGCTTTATGCAATGACAGACAACTAACTGAATGCCCATTTAACAGTTGCTTTGACAAACGAGAGTCATTTGTACTAGAATTATCATGCCCAATAAATCTGTCAACTATTAAAACCGGAAGACATCCTCCATACAATGTTCATATTAAACTGCTCTATAGACATTGCTGCCTACTCATGACTCAAGGGGTGGTTTAACACATCCCTGTACCAGGCCATGAAGGCCCATAGGGTTATGAGCCATTGAGGGTCCCACATTATCTAGATAATCGGCTCAAAGATGGCGGTAAGGTTGTCAGCCTTATGTGCCAGCCACACTTTACTCCCCAGGAAAATTATTTAATTAGTTCCTGGTACTCATTTCTGTTAGAGGCTGAGTGAACCCCAGGGCCATAGTGCAGCTGGAAGGATTAGGTCAACTGAAAAAAATCCAATGACCTCATCGGGACTTGAACCCACAACCTAACAGCTTGTAGCATAGCCCCTCAACTAACTACGCTACTGCATGCCCCCGCTCTAATACATAATTACTGTTATACTGTACTTGCACTTTTTCTTTGTAATTAAATGGCAGTAAGTAGGTGTAAAATATAATCTACTGTATTATAATGTTGACTATTATTTCAGTGTTCTTAAAACCATACACAAAGTGCATTTCCAAATATTAATCCAAAAGGATTTCTATCTCATGCAACACAAGGGAACTAATATCAGTTACAAACATCAGAATCCACAGCAGACATGGAAATTTGCTGTTCTCTCTTCCTCCTCTCAAATTCATATGATTTAACATCTTATTAAGAGTATGATGGAATAAAATAAAAATTTGGGAAATTAAGGATGTCATACTCATTTTTTCTTGTAGGAATCTACCATAATGCACGTTTTCTGAAACAAGATCCTTACAATTCATTTCAATGTCAATGCTCAAATTTTTACAGTGTTTGGGCATATTACCTAAATAATTTTAAAAGGAAATTCTATTTTCATTCCTTTATGAAATTCCTGGTATTTCTAACTTGTTATAGATGATTTTATAGGTCTTACTGCTTTATTTGAATGGGTTTCCCTCATCCACTAACTTTTCATTATCCATACCTATTTCCTCAGAATTATGAAGTGATTCTGTTTCTTGTTATTTATGACACAGCTCTGTTCCTTGTTCCTCAATGCCTGTGTCAGGAGATTTGCAAGGGGATGATTCCCGTGACATGTCATCCTCATTCTGAAAATAAATCATCCGTACTGTGTTCTCTTGTAGCTACAAAGGACCAGTTGGAAGGATAACAGCTTCATGTTTCTAATGGTAGATATGTGTCTGGTGGGTGAAGGAACTGAAGTACACCATGCAAATATACAGAGTGATTCTAAATTATTGTCAGGGTTTCCATGGCCTATAAACAAAAACCTCAATAATTATTTTGAATCATCCTGTACATCAATTCAAATTAACTGCAAGTCCCATTACTTGGTAGAATTATTTGTAACTGGGAATTGTGTTAATTCTACTATAATGACAAACAGAAACCATATACGTGTCATTACACAAACTTTCACAAGTATTTTTCCAAGTTTCTAAACTATTATGCAATAATACTGATTTCCTGCAGCATATGGCACCTTAAGCATACATTGCAGCGTAGTTGGTTGAGGGGCCGTGCTACAAGCCAGAAGTTCATGGGTTCAAATCCCTATGCCATTGGATTTTTCAACTGACTACTCCTTCCAGCCGCACTATAGCCCTGGGGTCGACTCAGTCTCTAACAGAAATGAGTACCAGGAATCTTCCTGGGGGTAAAGACTGGCCGGTGCATAAGGCTGACAACCTCACTGCCATCTCTGAGCCGTCTGTCTAGAAAATGTGAAAGCCTCGGCGTCTCACAACCCCATGGGCATTCACAGCTTGTTAAAGGGATAGCTTTACCTTTTTATGGGGCCTTATGCATGTTATCTCAGTACATATTTATTTTTACCGAATGATCCCAGAAACGAACAGTGTAAGACATAGGATGTACTGATAACAATTGATTAAGATGATGATTTCAAAGAGCAAAGTTCTATTTTTGCATTTATCAGGCTCTAATTCTTGGACAGATGCCACTATTCCAGTCTAATGAGATCATATTATTAGCATGAAACATGGGAAGGAGGTAGGGAGCTTGTAATGTTTTGCAGTACACAGAAACTTTATTGGGATTAACTCAACAAGTCAGACTAATCCAAGGTTATGCAGTTTTAAAACCAATTTACATCCTTGTTCCTTCTCATTCTTTAAGTGCATTAAGGGTGACAAGCTTACTTCTATCTACTAATTCAGGTCTCCATTTACATCTGCAGCAATGAATATCACACAATTCTCTCTCCTATTTAAATGTGTAAACATTAAAAGAAAAAATAAAATTTTGCCCAGTCCAAAGTAATTTATGAGGAAGATATACAGTAGTCCAAATTAACTCAAATGGGAGTATTCATGAATATTTGACCATACATGAAGATAATAGAATATTAATGAGTGAAGAGATCGATATTCTTTGCATGTCATTTAACTATACTGTATCAACGGCAATGGTTATTTACCATAAAATGGTATGAAAATTACATTTGGCAAACTTGAAGGAAGCAGATGTAGTCCATTATAAGGTACTATCTTGACATTTGCCTGGAGGGATTTAGGAAAAACAATGAAAAACCTCAATCAGTCAGTATCTTGGCCTAGATTCGAACCAGGTACTTCCAAATACAAGAAACACTAGCACTTGAGTCGACTTGCTTCATTTGCTCAATGGAATATATATTCATAATAAATAACATATAAATAAGCAAGTCCATTATTTCATTAGTTTACAGCCACTTTTGGTAATGCAACAGAAATATATATTCAGAAGAGTTGGGTAACTTTTTTGGTCAATGGAAATATGGAGACATAACATAGTCATAATAAAGTAATTTTATTTCACTGGTTAAATTTAAGAAAAACAAGGGCAAAGAATCATTGCTTGCACTTCATATTTGTTCCTTTTAACACTACATTCTTAAGACTTTAAAATGTGCAGTGTCAGTACTCAATGTGATGATAAATACTGGGAGTAAGAGGAAAGTTCAACATACCTGGAAGTACTTATGCCAGAGTACACATCCATAGACACACAGAACAGACAGCAGCAGCTGTAGTAGTAGCCAGATTATAATATTGATGGCCTGTGTTCTCTCAAACAGTTCTTTGCCATTCTTTATGCAAAGGAGCGCCTCTGTGACCATGATGGCTCCATATACCCAGCATTGTGTCCCCACTCGCTTGCACTGAGTGTCTGTCACATAGCTGTAGTACTGCCTGTAAGTATTAAGTCATGTTGCATCTCTATCACATTTTATAACAAATCAGTGCCTCACTACCATGTGCAATACTGCCCTTAGCATTGGTTAAACTATAATTACATCATACTGTATCTTAAGACAGAAAGACCCATTGGTCAAAATAATCAACAAAGGCCAGTCAGTGAATGGAAAACATCAACTTAAACGAGTAAAATAAAATGGAAGAAAAATACTTTGAGATGAGGTAATGGCTCATGCACAATTAGGAGAATGTAAGGGATGTCATTACATTCCCGCAGTTCTGGAAAGAAGCTGGAACTATGTTGATGGCAGTGTTATAGTCTAGACTTACCTCACTGACGGAGCTACAATGACACCAATAAGAATGAGTCTTGCCACAACAAGAGGATGGGAAGGTGGCATCTCAAAGATATGCTTCAAGAAGAAAGTGTTGAGCTCAGACACTTGCCAGAAGATGACCATTTGGCACAGTGCAAAGAATCGCATATATGTGCATGTTGGGTCAAGCCAACGTATATGCGTCCAACTCCCTGGAGTAAACTGTAGCACTGCTCGCTTTATCTTGCCTGATGTTGAGTGGATGTCCCTATGATCATGTTCATTTCAATATTGCAAGTAACAGAACTGTAGTCCTAATGAAACAAACACTGATTAGAAGTACAATATACTGCACCACTGACTGTGGGATGTATCATATTTAAATGTGATAGAACTTCATGCTGCTCCATTACTTCATGTATCCTAAATCTTTGCAGCATTCCCTAAGTATGAAACATTCTACAATTACAACATTAATAAATGAGTACCTAGATTACACTAGGTGACAGCTATAATGCTTTAAATTTGTATTAGAGAGGCACTCCACCTGAACCTCAGCTAGGGAACTAGATATCATGACAGGTTTTTCATGATTTTCCTCAGTCCATCCAGACAAATGCCTGGATAGTACCTTGACTGGGCCATGAGCATTTCCTTCCAAATAAACATTTGATAATCCCACCATCTGAAGCTATACGAAATGCTGTTAAATAGGCATGTTTTGTATTTATACATTTATTTATTTATCTGCAGTTTTGTTAGTGACACTGTCAATACTGTCTGTCTCCAGAATCTCTGAGGACACATTATACCTGAGTAGAAAACTATACAGAAGAAAATTCCTGTCTGCTGAGATCTCCAGGAAGGCAATTCAGGTTCCCATCATAAGTTGAAAGTAGAACCTTTCTAATGATATAATAAGATACATCACTCTCTGATAATAATAGAATCTCAAAGATGTTTTAGACAAATTATTACACACTCAAGAGTAGTGGTAAGTGCTCCTGCACTGTTTTAAAATATTCTTCGAAAGACAATTTTACATATGTTTATAAATGCTCACAAGGTTCTCTTACTGAAAATATTAACCTAGCATATAATTATTATTTTTAAACTTAATTCTGTAGAATTTATTTCCTGCATTATTAGCCCATACAAAATTTTAGCATTTAAGGTTTTGGAATTAATTTACGCTGTGGTAATATATATGAGAACATCAGTTCTTATGCATCAGTATGTTAACTTCAAATGAGTATTGTAGTACTTGTAGGGAGGGTATTTTTTTTTAATTCGCTTAGTGGGGGGGTGGAGTCCAACTGGGTCCACTCGGCCATTGATTGGCCTATTGTAGCCTGCCCCAGGTCATTATGATGATGGAGAATTTGGTGGAATGAAGATTGGCAAGGGAACCGAAGTACTCGGAGAAAACCCGCCCCAGGACCACTTTGTTCACCACAAATCCCACTTGACTAGGCCCCAAGATCGAACTCAGGCCGCCACGGTGGGAAGCCAATGACTAACCGCTTGAGCTATGGAAGGGCCTGTGCATTAATTTAAGAGGAATTTATCAAAATCAAAGTGATCAATTTCTGATCAATATAACAATATATGAGTGCAAATTTTTCCATCAAAAATGGGGGAAGGCAGCATGTCAGTTTGGTGAAACCCAAGGGGAAGGGGTTCATCATGTCAATAAGTTTGGCAGCCATTGTTTTAGGGCAGTGCCCCCCGGAGGGCAGTGCGATTACCCAAAGGGCCCTAAGAGGCAAGGGGGAGGCAGGGAGCCCCTGCAAACATGTTCACTTATTTATGGCTGAAGTGGCTTTAGACCAGACACTGGGAAACTGGTATCACCTCATCAAGCCCATCCATGTCTCTAAAACTTCACTAACAGTGAAGTAGTTACTAAATGCGGTATCTTATTTTATTGTCATTATCTTCCTTAATGGTTTGTGCAAAATCCTATTCTGAAGAATGGTTTTATAGGATAGTGTAGGGGCACTAGGGATGAGTTTATGAAGCCAAGGGGGCAGTGGCCTGAAATAGTTTGAGAACCAGTTTTAGAGGAACCTGTTGCCTCCATTCAGCATTCAAGAGCAGCAGGTTCCTCTGAGATGTTGGTACCTGTTTAACAAAACAAAAGCATCACATCCCAGAAGAAAGTACTGTTTATAGTCACTGCTGCAAGGCCTTGAAATCTCACATTTATAATATCATTCACTTTAAAATTAAGAAGCATCCTTTCAAAAATGCTTCCATTAAGTACAGAGATACATTAAGGGGGGAGAATTTACCTGATGCTAACCCACTTGTACTCCCTCATTTCAAGGCATTTGCATATCTGAAGACCAACCCAAATGCCCAGTCCATTGCAAACCAGTACATCCAGAATGAGTGCATCCCACCAACATTCAATAAAATTTGGTAATAGGTGAGCAAATGCAATCTGTAACACGATAATGATACAAATTTGTACACTTGTACATATCAGTCACATTTACATGCAAATTACATGACTGTCTGACATTCAACAGATTCAAATTACTGAATTATACATATGTAAATGCAAAGATAATATAAAACCAAGAATTTCTAAACTCAACAGATGGTAATGATAGAGTTCTGCTAACCTCTGTGAATTCCCACATAACACTTATGGCCCATAATATGCCAAAATGTCGAACTAATATAGCCTTAAACATCCAGCCCAGAAAGTGTCCCCAGGCAAATGCATCCAGATGACTCCAGACTCTTTCAATAGTAATATCTGAGCAGTTCACACCATATTCCTGCAAGAGATGATTTAATCTGTGCTTATACTTGGAACAAGGAAAATGTAATATAAGACATATTTCACTCTGATACCCTGTAAAATATCTGTGCCATTACTTGAACACACTGAGACAAAAAATTTTCTATAAAAATTGTAAATAATCACTCACACAATTTACAGCATCAACAATGTTTCCAGCTCATAGGGTAAGTTCAGTATAAGTTAAGCTCCTTTTCCATGAGTGTTTATTTTGCACCACTTTTTTTGGTGTTTCTTAGTGAACCATTGATCAATCATGTGGCTGCATGGAAAAACCTCCATTTAAATCTATGGTTTTCTAAGACATGCCACAGACACCTTTGGAAAAGGAGCTGTAGAACTCAATCATGACAAATTAATCTATATTATATGTGGTAGTAATGGTATGTCAGCATTCAGTTACTCAGCAAGAATTATAGAATGTAGGCAGAATGTATTGTCATATTTAACCGTGGTAAATGAATCAAAAGCTGGGACTGCTCACATTGTAAGGCGACTTGCTATGGACCTGACTACCTGATTCATTTCTCAACAGGGATACGTTTTCTTTCCTCTTCATCTAGACATGTTCTGGGGCCCTGCTCAGCATCCTATCCGATAGGTAAGAGCGTGAAAGTTATCCCTAACCTGTAGTTAGTATTCATGTTAAGAATGTGTAGAGCTTTCCTTCCACTACCCCATACATTTTCATAGCATGGTGATTACAGACAGAGACAATTTACTGTCACTATGTCAACAGTTACAGCAATGTTTCAATACCACCTACCAAACTGTATGCAGGATCTACAGTGTACTTCGTTTTGTCAGAGCATACTTCCAAAATGTTATATTTTATGCTCATTTCTGTTCAGAAACCACAAATGTTAATATATTCTATTTTGAAACTACTTTAAATAATAATGTACATATCTAACATTAAGCAGCCTCCGTAGGCTAGAGGTAACGTTCCCACCTCATGACTCGTAGTACGTGGGTTCAAATACCCGGCGGAAGTCGTCTNCAGTAGGATATAGAGACTGGTAGAAATCATAGAGGGAAGCACAATGGACCAATACAGGTCTCAGTGCATGGGGAAACCCACCCTCTCCAATAACTAACTATCTAACATTAAGCCAACATACAGAAATCTTAAGAACTGCCTATGAGATCGTTAATATTTTTCTATAAAACCATTTATTTTCCTCAAGTAACTGTTTGAAAGCTGGATCACTATCCAGCCAGTCCATTGGCACACGTTGCATGGACATACAGCAAACACACGTCACACCGCTACCTACTGTTGTGTGACATCACCACAGATATGGAAAACACAGCTGCCCCTATTGTTGCGTGTTGGACTGTGTTTACAGGGCTACTGCCCGGCAACACATTGATCAAATCCGTTACAGTATGTTGTTACTACTACTATAGCAGAGAAGCTGTGATGTTTGCTTAAGGATTCTGCATACAATAATGTTCAGGACTCCAGAAAGATGGTCACCTGTTTGCCACAGGTGACTTAATGGAGGCCATTGCCAAGTATAGGAAGCATAGCCTACTGCTATCTACAAGAAGTTGAGGCCGCGCCATAGCTCAAGCGGTTAGTCGCTGGCTTCCCACCGTGGTGGCCCGGGTTTGATCCCGGGGTCTGGTCAAGTGGGATTTGTGGTGGACAAAGTGGTGCTGGGGCTGGTTTTCTCAGAGTACTTTGGATTCACCTGCCAATCTTCATTCTACCAATTGCTCCACAATCACCCTCATCTATCATCTGGGGCTGGTACAATAGGCCAGAAGTGGCCGCAGTACAAGGGACTTAGTCCCACCCCACTACCAATAAAAAAAATAAAACAAGTTAGGTTATACCTTGAGCTGCGAGCCGTATAGAAGATATGGTGATCTTGGTTCCCACTGTATGTTGAAAACAGAATCTGGTATCTTTCTAATGATGATATAATTGTCTATGCCACTATTTACTGATGCTGCAACCTCAAAGTTTTAGACACACTATTGAGTGTACTTTCTTAAGTAGCTAGTGGACCGAAACTGCATTTATGGAGTAGTGCTCATACTTACTATGAAATATTGGAATTTTTCTATTTTAGTTCAGAAGTATAGTATTAATTTATACAGTCATCTTTATCAATGATATACCTTGTCCATATCAATGTGGAAATCCTTTAGAGATGGGTCAATCCATACCATAATTCCATTTACTGTTTTATAACTTTGAAATAAGAGGAAAAGCAGCCCAAGAAGATACAGAACACTCATTCCAAATACTATCCGCCAAACTGCTGGGTGGGGCCTTGTAAATGGCCCATTTGGAAAAGCTAGGACTGATATTATCAAGAAGAAAAAAATAACACAACATATTCCGGCCCATATGTTGTCTTGAACATCACCTTCATGTCTGGAACATGAAAACCAATTCTAAGACAAAGTGGCTAAAGGTACAGATTTTATTGTAAACCGTAAGTTTAGATAACCAACTGCATCAAAAACAGTATTCATAAAATATTAAGTCTTTAATTAACCTTGTAAACGCGGAATAAATCACTGCACCTATTGAAACGGCTAATAATGTTATTGTATGAGGTCTATAGAACAATTCTATGGATATGTCGTCTACTGGTCGTTCATTAATAGAGTAAAAACTGTCCGATGTTTTGCAGTTTGTTTTTATTGAGGTTGGGCGATTTTCCATTGCTAACTAATGCAGTTTATAAGCAATGATCACACATGCTCGTATCACCTCCTCCGACTCACGCCTCTACCCTTTCGGTCTGCATAGAAGTAAACACAACCGGTCACAATTCGCACAATTCTAACACACTCTTCATTTGTACAAGTTCTCACAGCAGCGCTAACAACACACCATCAGGTACACCAACAGAATCAAATAAGGCACGGAGAAGTGATAACGTATATGTATCGTTATCCCTTGAAATTTGGAAGTGCACACAACATATTTTATGCAGATAAGGATACTACTGAATTTTGCTTATTGAATATGCCATAGCATAGGGTAATGGTGCAATAACTTGCTTGCGTGGAATGTTGCAATGCATGTGCTGCGTCGACTGGCTTAGCACTCCTGTACCGTATTTTGGCGGTCTCGGATTCAAATCTCGATCCGAAGATAGGGTATACTGACAGGTTTTTCGTGAATCTCCCTCAGTCTTTCCATTTAATGCTTAGGTTAGCTAACTAACTGCATGGAGCTGAGTCCTTGAGAAACCTTCGATCGCTCAGCTATTCAAGAAGTAATTAACGTTTTATGGAACGCGGAGGTTCATAACCGTGGCCACAAAACTCGCTATTGGTCTCTATCTCAAGCCAGATTAATCCAGTGCACATCGACCCATCCTATTTCTCTAAGAGCCGCTTTAATGTTATCTTTCCTTCTTCGTCTGGGTTTTTGTAGTGGTCTCTCTTTCCTTCTGACTTTTCCAGCAAAACCCTACATGCATCCGTCGTTTCCCTCATGAGTGCTACATGTTCTGCCCATCTCATCCTCCTTTACTTGATCGGTCTAATTATATTATATAACACTACAGGTTATGAAGGGGCAGTACTTTAAAGTGGGCCACGACCGTTTACTTTTGCATACTTTCCATTTCATTATTTACTGACCACCAAGTCATTCGATATTTTGTATTCTGAGCAACTGGAAGTGCCATTAAATAAACTAAGCATATGACGTGTGTGAGAGGTTGTCTTTTATGAAAATCAAGGGTTCATTAACTTATTCGCAAGATCTCCTTAGCGGACCCTTCTATCATGAGACAAATTAATCCATTCCGCACACTTCCCTCTAAAGTTTCTTTAAGGTTAATTTTATTATTACCTTCCCAACGACACCTAATTCTCAGTTAGCAGTGTGCGTGGAAAATCGTAGTTAATTCGATAATTCTATTGTGCAGTATTCGACGATTTACTTACAGGCGAATGGCCTGATTAGTCAGATCGAAACCTCACCTGTAATATTGAGCTTGTACATGGCCACGACGTCCGAATTTCAGTTCTGCATTCGAGCTTTCTTTTTCGCTGAAATTTCGTAGCTATACAATCGTTTCTAGATGGGCACTGCAAATGAGCAAAATTTCAGCTGAGGCGTCTACCTGACCAACCGGACCATTCTCTTGTTAAGCACTAATTTGGTGTATGTGTGTGTGTGTGTGTGTCGGGTGGAGAATTTTAATTCTTGTATGTCCTTGGACTGATTGTTCGAAAATAACTTTCTTTTAGTGTTATGAAGATATTCTGTGACTGTTCATAGGACCTTTTTTTTAGTGTTATGAAATTATTCTGTGACTGTTCATAGGACCTACTACGGGGAGCGTAAGGACGACAGGACCATTTGAACGAGGAATATCATTCCAATTAACTCGTCTGCGGTTAACTGAGCAACTTGACTATACACTGCATCCATCTATAGGACTATTAATACACCAGACACTACATATCACGTAAGTAGATGTCTCTGTCGTGTCTGTCATACGGTCATGTGGTACTAAGCCGTATAGGTCGTATAGGTCGTGTAGTTGACTGAGATATGAATAAACAATTTTCTACCCAAACGCGTACTGTCATATCCGTCGTATGGGTCGTATTGCTATACATATTCTACATACATATTGTATACAACAAAGAAGCCGGTAGGGACAGTGATCCGAGGTCAGAGAAGTGAGTGGAATATTTAGTGTTTTAGTGCGTTGTTCGTGTGTGACACACGTGCTCTATCTTGAATTCTAATGTTATGGCAGTATGGTAAGAATATTGTTTGTTCATATATAAATTATTTTCCTTCTAGTTATATAATAAACAAATGTAACGCAAGCCCGCAAAGCAGTATGAAAATGCACGCAGAAGATTGAGTCTGTTAACGTTGGTTTTATCAGTGTAATGTATTGGCATATTGTAAGAGAGATTCGAAAAGTTAGTTAACACAGTTGTTTGTGGGACCAGCTGTAATTGTTTCGTAATGATATTACACGGCAGTTAATGTATTTATTTATGCAATTTTACAACATAAATCGCTTTACCATTTGCCCCATCGTGAGATGAGTGAGATTATACCTTTACTCTTGGCTCTGTCCTAATAGTACTTCAAGATGAAAATTTTAAACTGTCGAATTTGCCATCTAGAAAGGTGGTACTCCAGCCTCTACTTATTTGGGTTATTAAAGCAACAGCTTTCTACAAAGAACTTCAACACATTTAAATTTTAAACTTAAACTGTGTCGTTGGCCATTGGGGTTGAGTCCTGATTGTTATTGCAACGGAATGGATAATGTTATCTGACAGTGGGACAAATGTTAATGCGATTATTTTGAAAAACGATATAAATATGTGCCTTGATTACCGTGTAATGTCTAAAAGCTACGATTATATAGTCTTCTCACAAATATTTACCTCCATCCAGTGTTGAGGTTAAGAATAGTGGATCTTTATCTCCACTTCCCCATGCATCTTCATGGTATGGTGCTTAATTAATTAAGCACAGGAATATCTTTTACCTTTTCTTTCAATGGCTTTTCCAGCCCATTCAGCCCCTTGCATCTTATTCAGTTCTGTAATCATTTTTCGGAGACAGTAGAACTCCTTGGACGAGTGATCAGCTCGTCGCAAGACCGCTACATTAACACAGAACAACACAAACACAGCATAAATGCAAGCACACACCAAACATCCATGCATTAAGTGGGATTCGAACCCATGATCCCAGCGTCCGAGCGAGCGAAGACAGTTCATGCCTCAGACCGCGCGGCTACACTGACCAAATAATTTTACCTTTACCCCTCACAAAATAAGTGTGTTATATTTTCACCCCTCCTGTACGAGTATAGATACTTTTCAGTATTCTTCCTTGAACCAACCTTAGTTGTAACACTTATGGAGCAAGTAGTATTGCAACAAGCACTTTCAACCGGAAAATGGTAGCAGCAGGTTCCTCCTAAGCGCTGGTTGATTCTTAGGTACGTATAGGCCGTGTCATAGCTCAGGTGGTTAGTCGCCGGCTTCCCAACGCGGCGGCTCGGGTTCGAGCCCAGGTCAGGTTGTGTAAGTTTCTTGGTGGACAGAGTGGCACTGGGACAGGTTTTCTCCGAGTACTTCGGTTCCCCCTTCCAATTATCATTCCACCGACTGCTCCACACTCATTATCTACTGTTCACGGCTGGTAAAATTAGCCAGTATTTACCGACGTACCAAGTAGATTCAGTCTCACTCCGCCCCAAAAGGTACATATACGTTGTAGTAAGCCAGACGATCGGCCGCGCCATAGCGGTTAGTCGCTGGCTTCCCACCGCGGCGGCCCGGGTTCGATCCCGGGTCTGGTCAAGTGGGATTTTTGGTGGACAAAGTGGCGCTGGGGCAGGTTTTCTCCGAGTACTTCGGTTTCCCCTGCCAATCATCATTCCACCAATTGCTCCATACTCACCCTCACCCATCATCTGGAGCTGGTACAAAAGGCCAGAAGTGGCCGCAGTACAAGGGACTTAGTCCCACCCCACTAGCAATAAAGAAAAGCCAGACGATCGCTATATAGAAGGAAACGTTGCATTTTTATAAGGAAATGCTGTGCAAAAGGCACAATGCTTTTTCGTGGGAAGACAGAAAATAAATGCCAGCATTTTAGGAATTCTGCGAATGTGCGGTTCCACGCAGTGCAATAGCGTTTCACTTTTAGAATTACTGGGTTTCTGGACTTTGTCTATCGTCCGGTTTTTTGAAAAACCAGAGAAAACAACGTTTCGGAAACTGGATGTGTTTCCGTCCTTAGGCGATTGGGGAAAAACCTACACCCTTGGTCCTTCAGAAAGAGCTAGACTCAATCACTTGATAACCCATGTCAGTATAACTACAGCTCTGGACTCGGCTCCGGTAAGTTGATGACATATTCGTGGCCTGGCTTCATGGCTCAGAACGGTTACAGAATTTCCTCAGCCACCTAAATATATTTTAGAGTCTTCAATCCAGATCACTATGAAAATGCAGTACAGTCAGAGAGTCCTTTCCAGAATGTTCTAGTCATCAAGAAAGAGACGACGCTGGCCAAAGAAAATTTACAGAGAAATCATCCACACTGGCCGATATCTCAACTTCAAATTTAATAATCCGCTCTTGTGAAAAGAGTTTCCATTCTGGTAAAGGTAAAGTTTTCCCTGGTCTTTAACTAACTAAGTACTACGCCATGAAGGCGTACGGGACTGTGGATATATAGATCCATGTTTTCTTAACCTTTGCACTAGCTGGAGGTGAACGGTCAGCTTCACGCCCCGGCCGCTTTACACATGGGTAAAGAGCCCCCAGTACACACCGGATAGGAGGCTGGGTGAACCACGGAACCGGTCTGGACGACGTGGAGAAAATAAAATTCTTGACCCTACCGGAACTGGAACTCCGATCCCCGAGTCGTCCAGCCCGTGGCCAGTCGCTATACCGACTACTCTCTCCCGGTTCCGGTTTAATTCAGAGTTTTCACAGTAGAGCTTCTACCACATGTCAAAAACGACAAGATCTGATTAATGAAATTAGTAGTCTGAGACGTGATCTTCAGCTCAACGGTTTTCCCTAAGGTTTCATTGAATCGATTATTAATTCCAGGGGTAGCAGTCGTACGAATAGACAGGAAAAGCCCCTTGGCTGTGTGTATATCATGAAAGGTGTTTGAGAGAAGTTCAAAACGTATAGGAAATCAGTATTACATTAGGAAGATCTTCAAAACTAAAAGCAATCTCAGAAGTTCACTCATGAAAACCAGGCTGGAAGGACGTCCTCAATAGAAGGCACAGTGCATCTATAGCATTCTCTGTGAATGTGGCAGAAGCTACTTAGGCGAAACAGGCAGGCCTCTAGCTGTGCGGCTTCGTGAACATAGACACAATCTCAAAGCGGGTCTTCTAGAAAAATCAAAATTAGCCTGTTATGTCTATGAAGAGGGTCATGGGATAGGATGGGATGAAGATAGAATTTTGGAAATTGAAAGTAAAAGCAGGTACATAAAATACTAGGAATCGGCCCGTATGGCAAGCTTAATAAATCCGATCAGCCAACCCAATTTGGACATTTCTCCTATCCGGATCCCCCTGTCAGCAGTGAGGTTACCAACTCACAGAGAAGATCAGTATGTTGTGATAGATGCTTCATGGGTTTCTATGAAGTTTTAGTCCCTAGTGTTCAATTTTTATGCCATAGATGCAAAAGTTAGCACTAACTTCGCCGACAAGCGGCGGTCGCTCGGTCGGTATAGTTCGCTTGTGGACCACAGACCACAGAGCAAAGCAAAATAAGTGATAAATGTTTATTCATCGTCCTTTCCAGTAGTAAGCCTATTGAAACCTGCTGCGGATATTACAAAGTATAATCTTGATGGCAGAAGTTTCCCAAAACACGTACTATTGGTTAATATTTTGAAACATTGTTTGGAATTCTGACAGTGCTCATCCTGTCTACTCGTTCCTTTTAATCTTTCCCGAATTATTCAATAAATTCTGTTATTAGCGGAATTTACAGCTCTATCATAGTTTCTTCAAATTTAAGGTTCCAAAAGGGTATGTCCCACAGTCCTCTTGAAACTCATTCTTGATGGTCTTTCATCTATTCTTATTGCCCATGATTCATAATCGTTCGATACTATTTGCTTTAACAAAAGTTATATAAACTCGTATTCTTGTATACCTAGAAATTTTTGATGGTTTGAAAGTCCGGTTTTTAATAACGAGTATTCTGGGTAATTGTTTTCCCGTGATAAGGAAGTGAAGCTAGCGGCATATGTATGTGTGTGTGTGTGTGTATGTATGTATGTATGTGTATATATGCATATATATGTATGTGTGTGTGCGTGTGCCTATGTGTGCGTGTGCATCCTTTTAAAGGAATTTACAGAGAATAAAACGATTCAGAGGACATATTCTTATAGTGAGAAAGCAAAGTAGGCGTATGAGATCACCCTGCTACTTGCCTATATGGGATGTCATTGTATGATGAGACAACCACCTATTAAACTGTTATACAAACATTTGTTGTAGTTATACAGCATATACAGAGGAACTTCTGTTTGAAGAATTGAAGGTCGCTGGTTGCTGATAAGCTGGGGGAAGATCTATCTCTCACTCTCTGGTTAGTCGTTTCTTCAAAGTCAAAGTCAAAGTCAAAGTCAAAGTCAAAGTCAGGGTAACTTTACGACTGGCAGTTTACCGCCAATGAGTACGTCTTGGTGTCCGACCCCTTGAGAACCACGACCAGGTTTTCTTTTTCAACTGACCTCTTGTGGTGATAATCCTTATGTAACATCCTCTCTGACGAGATGGTGGTTTGTCCCTTATGAATATCCTTGGCTTTTCGTCGTGTGTATATTTCGCACATGTAACATGTTATTGAAAATTCTTCCTTTCTCACTACATGCAAGTCCTCTGTCAGTACACGGTTTACCGAGTGGCTGGTTCTTCCTATATTAGGCCACCTTAAGTAGTCTCGCTAGGACCTTGTAGTGAATATCCACTTTCTCCTGTTTGGTTACTACTGATCTACTTCCCTGGAGACGCGATTTTCAGTCAATACATGGCAGTGATAATTGTGGTGTAGATTTTACTTAGCGATGGATTATATATTTAAGAAACGTGTTTTGCTGGGCCTTTGCTTAGCAGTCGATGGTTCCTCTACTGTGATTGTCTAGCACTTGGCTCAATGTGGCCGGTACCCACACCTATGTTTGTGCATATCACTTTAAACTTTTGAACCAACAGACAGATTCTGATGAAACTTGGTAATGAGTGTTACGCCATGTAAGGCTATGCCTGTCAATGTGTTTCTTAATTCATTGCAATTACTTATAACAACATGAGGAATGCATGAACTTATGGGGTGATAGCAACACCAGTGGTGGTAGATTTATTATGCTGAAATGACATATAATAATTGATTTTAAAGAAATATGCTTCTCTTGTCAAGGTAATTTTCTGTAGAATGTGAAACGAAAACATGGCAGCAATGGGAAAAATTTGTTTAGCCTTCACTTTGATGGCAGTAACTAATGAACCATTTGAAATAGGTGTGTTGAATTTGATGCTGAGATAGAACATTCCTATACATTAGGCGTGAATATTGTTTTGTAACTGAAAGATTACAAACATGGTGATAGTTGCTGTTAGGGCAGTTAGAAACTTTGAGATTATATCTGAGAGATTGAACTTATGCAGAAAATGTATTTCAGTGAGAGTTTCTTAAAAAATGAAATTAATTAGTAATTATGCTAACAGAACTGTAAGTCTAGAAGTCTGTACAGTAGGGATCAAGAAGAAACCTTGGTATTAAATGTTTGTAGCATCCCTTCTCATGCCTTTTCTGAAAATTATTATGAGTTCTTTTTCTTATCCTGCCCCTATCATAGAGCAAATTTTATCCTCATCCCATAATTTCCCCTTAAAATGTAATGTTCCACCACATCTGCAAAATCTTGTTTGGAATCCACATGATTACTCTAAGAAAATTCTACTTTCGGCCGCTGTAGGTGACCCACCTTAGTCTGTTGCATCTCATTATGTATCATGTATCAAAGGTATACTTAGGGGCCATCAATGCAACAGTCGATTGCAAACAATTATTAAATTTCATAATTATGATCTTGGTAGTTAGAAATATGTAATGGGATGAAAATAAAATAACCCAAATATTAAATATTTCAATACAGGTTCCTAATCAATTGTTGTTATGATAGCCCCAAAGTATACCTCATTCTCTTGTGTCTGATATTCTGGCTGCTGCATGCAGGACAATCAGACAGATTTACTTGATGACTTGGAGTCACACTGATGTAACACATTTTACTATTTCTGAGTTATTGACACCACCAGAAACACCATAGAGAGCTCTGTATTATTGCCATACAAGTGTATCTTTATCTCTTATTGCAGTGAAGCTATGTGTCGACATATCTGTATTTGCAAAATATAGTTTTTGGTCAATGCATTGTAGAAGCTGATCCATTCATGAACATGCACAAAATAACTGCAACAGGGAGGCAGAAGAGCTCCTACATTTCTCTGATTCTCATCACAATTTTAGTTTGGATCTTGTGTCCAATTCACACCACCCATGTTCTCACCTTTCTTGTGTGTGAACATAAAATCTCATATCTGTTGTTGTTAATGAAAGAATGAAGTGTAAAATATTTGTGAAAAATATGCAAGAATTTATGGGACTCAAGCCAGCATGCAGTATTTCAGCAGAAGTTCTCAAGAAGGCTTTCATGGACTAGATGAACAGAGACCATGAATAAGACTGGGAGTCCACAAGAGACTCAGATATATGGAGGGTTTCCTACAAGAATCCTGCACTAAAATAATTCTGGAACTATTAAAACTAAATAGAAACCAAAGTACATTAAAGTGGAGATGAAATCACTTTGAATAAGACATTGAAAATGGTGGCCATCTAGGTTCATAATCAGTATAGTTCATATTTTTAAAGTATTTCAGGATACAGTAGCAGTTTTACTGCCATGGGTAGATTGCTTGCATTGACACTATTTTCAGTCTATCTGTGAACACAGGAGTGTATGTACTGATAGTTCCTCAGAACTCTAGCCATGGTAGAGGGGTCATACCATCTCTCGCAGAGCTGGGGGAGCCATCTGATCAGCGTACATCAGTGTGGGTACTACCAGTTTGGAATGTAGCATCTTGGAATGGTCAGTTGTATAGTACATTGTGTATCTACCCCTGGTCTCCGTAGGCAGTGTTTTCCGCTCGGGGAGTAGCTCTGAATGTCATCACAACAAGCGTACAGCTTCGCATGCTCCACAAGAGAAGCATATTGAAAGCCAAAAGGAGTCACTGAACATTTCCAAGGCACCTGTTGTGAAACATTATGACTCTGGGGTAAGTTATAAGAATATTTGTTTATAATGTATTTAAGATGAATTTGAATCATTATGAAGCTTTATATAAATAGTTAAGCGTTTAATCAGTTAATAGTGAAAAACATTTGGTGGAATCTAGAAGTTCCACCATGCTTCTAATGTATTTATAGTATGCAAGCTATTGCTTTCTTTTTTGTTTCTGTTTCAGGTATGCGATTTAAGTTCATAAAAATAAGTCAGTAATTGCTAACACAGTGATGCTTCTGAAGGTAAGGATGCAGCTTAAAATTGGGCTCTTGGGAACATAATTTTACCATGTAGTTTCACAGAACACTAACCTTAAACACACCAGAATCACTCACATGTCCATTATTAATATTGTAAATTGCAAAAACCCTGTTTAACTTTTTTATATTACAAAAATAACAATTTATTAGCACTTCAAAAGCGATTTAACAAATGCTATGGGCTAAATGATGTAGTTATAGCAAGAGCTGACAAAGCTATATGGACGTGGATCTTCAGAAATTTGTATGAAATAGAACTGAAAAATAAGTTCCAAATTAATATTTAGTGTTAAGTACCTGAAAGTACTTCATGTGGATCAGGGCCAAGGTGTGCTTGATCCCCTCCTTTTCAGTATAGTACCTACACCTAAGATGGTAATAATACTCGTATTTGTGATGGTGGTGGTGGTAGTAGTAGAAATAGCAGCAGCAGCTGTAAGTATAGTCATGGTGGTGGTAGTCATAGTAGTAGTAAGAGCTGCTGCTGCTACTACTACTACTAC